TGATATTTATGTGAGTGTGGATTAACTGCAATGGAGAAGTTTCCAGTTTTTTGTTGTAAATTAATTATGAAAATTTAAAATGAAACAAAAATCCGAAATAATCCTTAAAATACCTGCACAAATGAAAAAGGTACAAGGTTTTAAAGTTGCGCTTAGAAAAATAATTTCTTTTCAGGGTGTGACGTCACTTGACCTATTTCCATACGATGCCTATTCGTTTGCTTAGTACGTGTGCGGTTGCGCCGCTCTTTTACCATGGTAACGAATGCACTGGATTAAGTCAAATGACGTCACAGGCAGTACAGATCACTACTGTGTTCACACTGAATACTATTTCTCAGTCATTGACGGATTTTAAAATTTTTTTAACATTGGAATTGTTTATGGTTATGCTGCAGATCCAATCACGGCACCATTATCGGAGAATCGTGTTAAAGATGCGATCTCTCAAAGGAATTGACTACGCCGCTAGACGCTTTCGAGTCTTAACAAGTAAATGAGTTCAATTTGGAACAAATTCCGGGTTTTAGAAGGTCCCTGCACTTGTCAATGTTGTCACATTTAATAATTGCAGAGATGTAAAAGTTGACTAGATAATAATGTCTATTAATTATTACATGAACAACATGGTACTGTCATGGAATAATAATTAGTTATTTTATAGCATATGTTAAATTGACATTTTAATAGGTATGAATAAGTAGGCTAAGTCGTTCTTTAACCGTAAGGATTGATAAAGTGGTCACTTTAACCATAAGGGTAGTTAAAGCGAAACAGGTGACTGTGCATTCTAATGACATCTGTCATTCTTATTTCAAATGCACGATATAAAATGGCGTTCAGAACATATGACAATTTTGTTCCTATGGAAACAATCGCGACGGCAGAACCTAAGCTTACTGTTTTTGACGTCTCTAAATTAAATTCAGAATTATCAGAAGCTTTACAATGATTTATATGGCTTCTCCTATAAAATAAAGATTTGTATTATACACGACAATAAAGGAAATATATCCCTTTCCTTTATCGTCTTGTATAATAAATAACTATTACTCCATGGTACTGTTTAATATTGTAACACATTTCTTTATTTTTAAAATCATTTAAAATGGCTACATACATTCAAAAAATGTACACATACACCAGAAGAATATTTACGCAAAACACATTACAAGCAGTAGATAAGTAAACAGGCCTGTACAGGTTTATTGGGTCACTAATTACACATTTGTAAATGAAGGGTTATTATGTTATTATGTATAGGTATTCGTAATTGAAAATTGTTTATTTACTGTTAAGTCTTGTTACAAGCTTCATCAACTTCCTCTCATTGACGTGTGTAAAACATTGTCTTTACGTATATAAGAAAGGTCGCTACGTAGACTGTCGGGTCAAAAGGCCCAAACAGATCTCAAGGATCGTTTGGTATACAGTTGTATTTATATCCGATTTTTTAATCATTAAAACTTTACGAGTTCCGGGACCCGCTGCACGGCAACCGTTTCGGATCCGGCTCGAAGCACGGATTTACTCGCGAGTGGCTGGTGTTATTTTCCCAATTTAGCAAAACAAAAAGCGCATTTTGGATTTATCGCCGCTTAATGGTGGAAATGGCAAAAATACGTGAAGATTTCGCCCGGCAAGTGTTAACAATTCGACCGTCTTTCGAACGCTTCCATAAAAAGTTGACCCAACTTTGAGGGAAGTAAAATTCCTCCATCGAGTAACCTTTTTTTTTAAATCCTTGTCTATTTTGTATATGATACCAAAGGAGGGAGTCTTTATCCCCAATTTTTTGCTATTCAGCTTTATCCCCCCCACAAGGTCAAAAAGCACTCGATTTCAACATTCTCTGAAAGCGCCGTCCTTCCCCCGCAATCCAAAGAAAATAGTGGCCCTATCGGACCACAAATTCCTCAATCCTTACTTGGTGTAGGATAGGACCTCTTTTTCCTTTGGCCCTACTTGGTATAAAGAGCGACAATGTTAAGGTGCGTAATGACCAACCCCCAAGCGGACTTTTCACTCTTACCCCCGTGAACTTATAGATTCGGGTCCTAGAAAGAATAGGTAGTTTGGACGTAGACAAAATATCGAAGAAATAGAAGAAAATATCTTTATTCTTGCTCGCTATCGCTCTTCAAAGTTGGTCATAAAACGCACTTTTTGCGTGTGACGCGGGGGCCATTTGAAAGACGGAAAACGATGTTTATCATAGTATAAATGTTACGGTCAAAGTATTTAATGCGGCGACCGGCGATTATCCGGCGAATGTGATAAATTTATGGTGCATTTCCGTTTAAAACTTAGGGGAAGGGAAGCTACTGCCATTTATAAAACTGAGAAGATATTGAATTTAAAAAAATCATTCCGAGAGAGGTGTAGACAAATTGGCAACAAGGATTACCTGTTTGCATCATTAATATCTTAGAGAAGAGCATAGTCCAATATTAAACCAAAAAACTGGAAAAGCAAGAAATCTGAATTTTTGTAATCAAATTAACGGTATGCAACCAACATTACAGTAATACGCAAAAACCCAAAAGCGTTACACTTCTTTCTATAATCCTTTGCAATGTTTAAGGTGTTATAAATGGAAGGTCCTTAACTTATGCATTCTCAAAGTAATGGGATACTGCCATTGACACCCTCTATACTTCACACACATTTTTTTAAAATTTTTTGAAACATTTCTTGTATAAGGGTACTTATAGGTACGTGTTCCGTCATCAAAAAGAGAAAAAAATCTCTATCAGATGAGCCTAATGAAGCTACCAAACCAACCTTTGGCGAGGTGACCGTGTAGCTTCATTAGGTTCATCTGATAGAGATTGTCGCGTTGGTACGCCAATGGACAAGTCGCCACCGCAATAACTCGCCAATGCGACCACTCGCCAATTTTTTTTCCTGTTTAGTGGGTCATACAAATGCAATACCTGTTATAGATCGGGAGGTAACGACAAATTTTGTGCAATATGATTAGCAAACGTCTGCCACCCCAATTTTCTGTTTACATAGACCTACTCTATCATCTTCATCTTTACACGCTACGACAAATTGTAACGATGTTTCTGTTTCAATTTTCATTGTGGACATAGACATATGAGAATAAGAATATCTATGATTGTCGTTCGCGAGGAAAAAAGATCCTTCGTTGGCGAGTTGTCGCAGTGGTGAATTGTTTGGGGCTTGTCAATAATGACCCACATTATGTACTTATTACATAAATAGCTATTACTAGTAGGATGCGTATAAATAACGTATACTATTGTACTTAGAAGCAATAGGTATTAACAGGAAAATATGAATGAACAACAAGTAGCTAATGACCATAGATGTCGAAGCTCGCTAACACAAAAATTATATGTATTATGATTACACACAAACATATAATGTTCACTGAAATTGTATAATTTTATTAACAACGAAATATGGGTAATAATTGTTAGTTTAATTATGATTACAAATAGAAACATATAATCTTTCTTTCAGTAACATAAATATAAAACATTCATCGATGTTTTTTTACTGCAGATAATATTATTTAGAGCAAAATTGAATGTAAATTATAATTAATATTTAATATTTGCGTAATTCTATTGGATTTTAGGGGGTTTCTTTTCTTTGTAAATATTTGCCTGCTTTGTAAAATATTATCTGGAAATATGGTAATATTATTGTTTGTTGTTTTTTTTTAAATAACTTTTGGAGCAGAGACAATCTTAAGTATAATCTGCTAAATTTGAAATTTGACACTTACCTAATAGAATTTTTCACAGTACTGTCTGAAAATGATTTAATAAATTCAGATAAAACGTTTGTTTTAAGTTAAATAACGATTCAGGTATCACAGATGATCAGAAACTCATCTTCCCAATTGCGAATATGCCACCTAAATTATTTTCGTATTGTAATACTACAGTGGAAAACAAATTGTTCACCGACACAACAGAGAAAATAGTCTGTTATTTGCCACCTACAAGGAACCGCAGGCAATATATAATGATAAATCCAACGAAATGTTTTTATATTTCCCCTGGATTTGTGTTTCGGTAATAAAAAATTAGAACTGAACTTGTTTTTTTATTATTTGCACAAACATATTGTACGATTGATGAAATGGGTGCAAATTACGTGTCGTTATTCACAAACTTCCCAAAAAAAGTTAAGCCCTAGCATTATAAATAGTTTTGCATACACTAACTAAATGACCCCGCCTGATGGGAAAACTTTTATAGTGCATTAAATTAAATGTACAGTGTTTAGGAAATTGTTGAACAGATTACGATTTTGTATGGTTACCCATAAGTCACGCTAATGTTAGAGTTTATTTCTATAATTACAAGTTATCTAACGCAATATTTACCTAAAAGATGTATGCTTCCAGGAATCTGCCCTCATTTATCTTTGCATCTGAATTCCTAATTCTTGGTTATTCGTATTCAAGGTACGTTTTATTACTATTTGTGTTTCAAACGATTTAGCTTTATGCACACACGGACGATATACAGCAATCTACTGGCCTTTTTCTTTTCGCATTTATTTTTACGAATTTAATTAAAAGGGTTTAGCTGTTATTCTACACTTCTGACTTCAATTATTTACGCCCTCGCTCTGTTTTTTCTTGGTCTTGCTTCCATTTTCGTTTTGAACTACCGTTTTATAACACTTAATGAAATTATACTATAAAATAAATCCAATGGAACGAAAGCTGCGACTATAATTTCGTGTAGCGATTTTAATATCGCAACTTGTATCGCCCGTTTAGTATAATATGTAAACATGGAGAATAGTAATGTTTTAAATCACAGTTCACGCCCAACAAAACGTGCTCTATCTTTAGAAACTGCAATAGGGATCGCAATCGAATAGATATCCAATCTTTCAAGACATCGACTTGTCACTGTCAGCAGTGATATGTTGCCCACAACTCGTAAACTTTGCTGATTCATACATGTCTTACAAGTTAATCAGGGTTCTGAAGTACTATTTGTTTGCAGCATACGCTGACGGGGCACTCGGGAAAAGTCATGGCCGGAAAATTTTTAGGAGAACAAACAAAGGTCGTAACAGGCAGTTATGATCGAACGCTGAAAATCTGGGATCTCAGGAGTCGTGCGTGTAAGTACCAAAATTTATTCGTTTTCTTTTCAGCTATTCTCGCCAAGTAATCTGTTGATAGTGTTGTTTGAATTACAAGCCGTTAATTTATCCTCAATTTTGTGGCTAGTACGACTTCCGATTCTCATTTGTAACTATGTCACGTGTTTAGAACGGCGTATGTCAAGGCAGCATGTAGGACTTGCAATTGCATTTACGAAAGCACAAGTTTCTAACTTTAAACTTAAATGTTGTTAGTATACTTTCTTAGTTTTGCAGGTACTTTATTAGCCACAGTGGTAAGTTATTGAATCGTAGCGAAGTAGTCAATTTTTTTTGAAAATTGCACCTGGTAAAATCTAAATTATAGCACTTCTGTTGCATAATGTGTAGTACATATCTAATTAGTAATTATTTAACAACGACCACCGACGTCAGCGATGTAGAAATTCTCGCTGCAGTACAATTTGACGTTTTGTACAACTAATTTAACTTTTGTTAGTTTATTAAGTTCGTTTTCTAAAATATCGATCAAAAAATATTGTGTCTTAGATATCGAAAAGGTGATTTGATCGCACTCTGAAAGTTGTTACACTTTTTTACTAGTGTACATGAACTGAAATATATCGGAAATTGAGTTGTATAGAGTGCATCGTTGCCTGCGGGAAAATCGTTGAACATTTTAAATTAGGAAATATTCTTTATCCATTCCCAGTATATGGAAGGGGATCGGAGATACCTGTTATTAGGATGGTGTCAGTTAATGAAGTTGTATTCGACTTATTTACCGATCCACGAACACTGACAGATGGATTAAGTTAGCAGCCCTGAATCGACAACCTAATTTGTAACATCGCAAAAATATTATACTCATTTTGTGCGCCAATCGCCAATGGTTTTGCGCTTCTCGTTTACGAGAAAATGAAAATTTTCCCTTAGGGGTTCAACTTAATACTAGAACACCATCTCGTATCCAGATCCACTAATAGTCAACCTTTTTCCCCCGAAGGGTTGAAAACGATGTATTTTAGGTCTTGCCTAGGCTTGACCCTAACGCGATTTCTCCAGCAATGCCTGCCCTAGACACAGAAGCCACTTTCCCCCGAGAAGTTACTAGTGTTGCCGCGAGACGAGACTACACGAGACTTTCGAAGGTCTTATCTCGTCTCGTTACCTCGAGACGAGACCAAGTCAAAGTCTCGTCTCGGACTGGTTTAGGCTCGTCTAGTCTCGTTTGTCTCGCTTGGTCTCGCCATACTATGCAAAAATGGTGTAGAGCATATAAAAGGCACCACGAAGGTATGACAAATAATAATGACCGTCCTTATCTATCTGCTAATCACGAAACATAATTATGCGTATTTTAAGGATTTTCTTTAGCATTGTGCAGCTAAAAAATATTAGCTTTCATAAAATGTATCTGGCAATGTAACTAGGTAGGAAGGTCTCACTGAATTCTTTGTTACTTAAATACAGATAATCTGTTCAAGTTATTTTGTAAAATCTTACTTTTATGGTCTACTACACGGTAAATATGTACCTATACCTAAAGCAGCACCTTTATTCACAGAATTTCGCAAGAACACAAAGAAAAGTGCAAACTCCTATACAAAAGTATAGCATTTTAGCCCCAATATGGCGACCGGAACCAGCAACCAATCAAAAACGAGATACCCAGTTGTCGCCACGGTTCTAAATTGAGTCACTGTACCCATACTTAGAAACGATTGGACTTAATGCCATAAACTTGTGAAAATACAATAAGAGCATTAAGTGCTTTTAATATAAAGCAATCCGCGAGATCCTATAACCAAATCTAGTTTTTCCAGCATAGCCAATTACCATTACTTGAGTAAGCACTTAAGCAGGTCCACTGCTATTGGTAAGAGTACAGGTTTAATAATCAATTGTCCGCAATCAAATAAAATAAAGCTGTGGAAGGCTTCCTGGATTCACAGATATACGTACTCTACTGGGTTTAAGAAAAATTCCAGTTATTAAGGCCTAAATCAGTAAGGTCAGGGACGGTTTATGTAAACAATTGGAATTCGTGCGACATTTTCCTAATTAAAAATTTAAAAAAAACAGTACAAAAAAGACTTCGAGACCATACGAGAGTTTCGTAGTGAATCGGAGAGGAGACGAGAGGGCATCACTAGAAGTTACGAAAAGGTGAAAAAGCTCTTCTTTGGATTATGTCGTGAAGTAGATGCTTCTAATAATGATTTAACCCAATATAATGGATCCAAATTGGAATCTGCATGTTTTGAATCTGCTTATCCGTCTTTGAACCAAAAACTGGCCAAAAAACAGACTCGGGTTGAATGATCATAGGCATCATTGTTCATCCTTAACAAAATCAATTCATGTATTCTACGACCTGATGTTAATAAAAGAATTAGCGCTAACCTTCTAGATCAGCGGTTCTCAAACTATGGTACGCAAGCAGCCATGACCATAATGTGGCCATAGATAGGGCTTGCGATGAAGGTTTGAAAATTTACTACAGCTATGTGAATTTTGGCTAAAAGTAAAAAATGAATATCCATCGCTGTCCAGAAAAGCATTATTATTTTTTTTTTTTCAGTGATAAAGGCTTCGACTGCTTTTGGTCTTTCGCCTGATGTACCTCCTTCTAAGTTAAATCTTATTGAATATATCAATACTCTTTAAAAAAGAAATCAGTCGTTGAATACTGTTCTGATCGTCATGAAGGACTTCTTTCAAGATTTTGGGCAATCCGTGGGTTTTCCGATCATTCTCGTATTCAGGACAACCCAAAAGAATGTGTTGCACTGTATATGGCTCGCTGCATCTACTACAATTTTTAATTTCACACCTTCCCAACATATGAAGGTGTGTGATATTGGTATGCCCAATACGTATTCTCGTATACACTACTTCCTCTCTTTTGCTCAAGTTATACCTGTTTATCCATGGTCTTGTGTGGCACTTTATTTTACTTAAAAAGTTATTGGAGTTCTTCCATTTTATTTCCCAATGGGTCACAATACTCTTTTTTAAATATGCTTTCCAGTCTGACGGTGGAATAACTGTAACATCGGTTTGTTTTTGCTGTGGTGAAATTTGTGCCGCTTCATCAGCTCTCACATTTCCATATATACCGACATGACCGGGAATCCATATTATTATAATTTTGAAATTTTGGGATTCTAAGTAGTGTATGCGTTCTTTAATTACATTAACGAGCGGTTCGATTTTTACATGACGACTTACAATAGCGCTAGCTGAGCTAAGAGAGTCTGTGCATATTGCAATACGTTGTATGTCAAGGTATTCACAGATTTTTCATTCCATGTACTACCACCTATCTTTATGAGAGCAGATTTTCTGCAATGTTGGTGCTAAAAAAAATACCGAAATAAGCTTAACATAGACCCAAATTTGCGTTTAAAATTAAGCACAACAATTCGAATTTTTTATTATTTTACCTTGTAAAATTAACCATTTTTAAAGATTTATTGGAATTTTTAACAGTTCACGACGGATTTAGAATATCATGAGTGGTACGCGAAAAAAAACTTAGAGAACCGCTGATTTAGATATTTGAAATAAGCAAGCTACTTTCATTCACTTTGTCTAATCTCATTCAGGAGATCAGATAATTTATATTCCAAATAGCTTCCTTATTGGTAATCGGTCTACTAATAACAGCAGCTTTCCATATTCCTTTAATTAAAAGATGGCTGGCCAATAGGCCACTTATCGGGGTTGGAAAATGTAGCTATAACGGACTAGTGAATTTTATTGTATTCGGAGCTAAGCCCATATCATGATGCAACGATGCTAGGTATTGGACTAACCTTGGGACTGCATTTTCCAAAGATGCGTCAGATGTAGCACTAAACGTGTAATCTGAACTAATTTTACTGATTTCATTCCTCCCTCATTATTTAGATATGATTTTAAAATTTAATCGTTCCCTGTCGTTTTGGTACAATATAATTTACTTACATTTCCTTGTAATTATGTGCCATAATCTTTGGGCTGCGGACCATATTCCTCTTATGATCTGATTGTCTAGGTGTCCAGGATCGCGTGCATCTGTGGCTATGAATATCTCTGGATTTTTTGGAAAGAGATGAGTTCTTTATGTTTTCCATTCCCCCAAAAGATTCTAACAACACCTTGTTCGAAATTGGGAATTTTAAGCTTGGTTCTTTTTCGGGAAGCGACAACGTTGCTCGGAGCAAATTTCTTGTGTTCAGTCTTTCTCTGGGAATCACAAAAGATGCGAAAGCCATCGTTCCCAGCACCTTTTTGGCTAAAGTCCACTGGTGAGCGGTTATAATTGTTTCTAATCTTACCTTATTGATTGTCTTTTCTTGAACGGCAAAGAAATCGTGTCCTCCCCTGTGTTCCATTCGATCTCTAGGTACTAAACACATGACTGGGGCTCTACTATTGATTTTTCTTTGTTCAATTGCCATCCTAGACGTTCTAGAAGGATTATTGCTTTTTTTGTTTGAAAGTGTCTGGTTGGCCAACAAAAAATCGTCGAGATATACTACAACTCTTATTTCCTTCTTGCGAAGACGTTCTGCTATCCAGTTGACAATGCGAGAAAATGCTAGAGAAGCTGTCGAAAGCCCGAAGGGTAAGCATCATTTGACACTTTTCTGGTTAAAACCGCAAAATAACTTTCTTCGCTTTTAACCAACACTCAGTTATCATTGACAACTCGAGCGAAAAAAATATTAACCCCAAAAATTTCAGCGTCTTTCTGGTGCTTTCTGTTGCTTGGTGACTTAGCGACGTTATGGCCCCCAATGACGGATTATCCCTTATAATGGCGATGTCTAATTTTTAATTGGTTAAGGGCTATTTCATTATCAAAGGTAAAGGTCGGTAATTAATTAAAAAAATGCACATTCAGCAATCTCCAAACTCGTGGTTTATCACACGCCCAGCTAAGGAATGAAAAATTATATCTCCATTCAAAGGCTGTAATTTAAACTAAACTCTCGCAGTCTCCTAAGAAAATTAACCTATAACGGTCA